TTTTCTGGAATTGAGCATGATTGGAATGAAAATGGGAATTTCATTGTTTTCTAGAATTGAGCATGCCCACATGAGATTCTTCAGTTTATTTTTGAAAGTGAGAACGATCGTGAATCGTGGTTTCTGTAAATCTTGCTTGGTTTTGTCTCCGATATGGTCGTGTAATCGTGACCCTGCTAGTGGGGGAGGTTACAAACGCTAGCACATGTCGACATGTTCGTGATAGAACCGGTTCGCTCGTGGCCCTACTAGTGGGGATTATACACTAGCACTCGTGGCCCTACTAGTGGGGATTATACACTAGTACTCGTGTGCCTGCTAGTGGGAACTGGCCATGACTAATAGAGGAGACCACTACGTGATTTTACTTGCATTAATGATTTGTTATTGAAACGCTTTGTTCATGTTTCAACCGATTATTTGGCATGCTTTAAACTTTGATGTCGGGCCCCCATGTTTACTTACTGAGATATTTCTATCTCACGGTTTCCTTGTCCACCATTTTAGGTAGTGAGACCCGACGCGTGGGAAGCCAGGGGGAGTGACGAGCTAGATGGCTAGGCACTTTTGGACTTAGGTTTTTTTTGTAGCTAAGCCGTTAGTCACCCATACTTGACATAAAAAATTTTGTGTACGGAATTTAGTGTTAGTCATGATTGTATATATAAAGTGATAAATTTTGTACATTCGACTAGTAACTATTTGGTAAATTAAAAGGCTTAAATCTGAATTGCTAAGTAAGAACTCAGTAGGTCTCGAGCCTTGTGCATTTGTGGGCCCCGCTCACGAGTGCACGGCGTCTGTTTCGCTCTTGGTTTGGGGCGTGACAGATTTTGTGGTATCAAAGCCTAGGTTAATTTAAGAGCCTAGGATTAGTCTAGAACTTGGCTAGCAATGAATGATAGGAACATGGTGAGGTATGAGAGTGGGGTTGATGAAAGGCGCTTGTTTGATTCCTTCCTTAATATGGGTTGGTTTCTTTTGTTTTGATACTTTTGTGCTGCTTAGTCCCGGAAGTGGAAACTTGCCGGGAACTTTCTCGTTGGAGCAATTGATTAATAGTCTATAAACCATCAACGGCCCAACGTGCTCGTCCTACTCATCTTATTTGCCGTGCTTGTGGGAAGGTCGGGCACACCCGGGATCAATGCCACACTGCTACTGGGGCTTGCTTTAAATGTGGCAAGTAGGGACACCGGATTGCAAATTGTCCACTGCTAGACCCCAAAGCCCAGAGTACTCAGCCTACCTCTCCGTAGAGTTCTACCAGTCAGGGGCAGCAGAAACAGAGTACTGGGGTTCGGACAAGAGCCCAGCAGGCGAGAGTGCAAGTGATGACTCATAAGGAAGCTGCGGCCACCGACGTAATCACAGGTACCTTGCCTGTTAACTTTGATTATGCGCATGTTTTATTTGATTCGGGTGCGTCGCACTCTTTCATTGCTCGATCTTATGTTTTGAAACGAGCTTTGCCTGTTGATACCTCTGATTGTGAACTGCATGTGGACACCCCTTTAGGAGGGGTGATGACTGTAGATATTTATATTGATGGTAGACAGCTGAGTGCTAGTCTGTTTGTGTTAGATATCTCCGATTTTGATATCATTTTGGGGATGGATTGGCTGTCAAAACACTTTGCCTCTATAGACTGTCATCGGAAATGGGTAATTTTTAATATTCCTGGTGAGCCAGAATTTAGTTTTCAAGGCAGTGGTTCTTTTGCTCCACCCGTGTTAGTATATGCCTTGCAGGCTCAAAAATATCTTGTAAATGGTTGCCAGGGTTTCCTAGTCTCTGTTATTGATGCTAGTAGTGTGACATTGAGACTAAAAGACATACCGGTGGTGCGTGAGTTTCCGGATGTATTTCCGGAGGATCTCCCAGGTTTACCTCCAGATAGAGAGGTTGAATTTGCCATTGACCTTGTTCCTGGCACCGGACCCGTTTCCAAAGCACCATACCGTATGGCTTCTGCAGAATTGAAGGAGTTAAAGGTCCAGCTGGAGGAACTCCTTGAGAAAGGGTTTATATGCCCTAGTGTATCACCTTGGGGAGCTCCAGTGTTGTTTGTCAAGAAGAAGGATGGCAGCATGAGGCTATGCATTGATTATCGGGAATTGAATAAGGTGTCTGTGAAGAACCGGTATCCCCTTCCTAGAATTGATGACTTGTTTGACCAGCTCAAGTGTGCTCAGGTATTTTCTAAGATTGATCTTCGATCTGGCTACCACCAGGTGAAGATTAAACCGGATGATGTGCTAAAGATTGCCTTTCGCACCCGTTATGGTCATTATGAGTTTATAGTCATGCCATTTGGCTTGACAAATGCCCCTGCCAGATTTATGGATTTGATGAATCGGGTGTTTAGCAAGTACCTAGACTAGTTTGTGGTTGTCTTTATTGACGACATTTTGGTCTACTCTTCTAGCCATGCTCTTCATGAGAAGCACTTGAGGATAGTCCTCGAGACGTTGAAAAGGGAGAGGCTGTTTGCTAAATTCAAGAAGTGTGAATTTTGGCTAGATAATGTTGCATTCCTAGGTCACGTTGTGACTAAGGATGGAATTTCTGTTGACCCCCAGAAGATTGAGGCCGTGGTTGATTGGAAAAGGCTGAATAGTGTTGCAGAAATCCGTAGTTTTCTGGGATTGGCTGGTTATTACCGCCGATTTGTGGGGGATTTCTCTAGAATTGCTCTGCCCATGACTCGTCTTATCAGAAAGGACACCAAGTTTGAGTGGACCC